TGTCATTCTAAGTAAGGATTTTCAGTCATAAATAGGTTAATCCAATCTGAATTAGAATATATTTGTTATAGTAGAATGAAAATTTACTTAAAACATTTCATAAACTCGTCCAGACTTTCATTCCATCTTGAACAAATAGATGTAGTTGGAAGGGAAAGCTCATATTTAGACGGGAACTTATTAAAGAATACTGAAAAATTTAGAATTGGACGAACATTGGAATGATAATTTATAAATATGAAGGATTTTTTCTTTATGGAATGTTTTTTCAACTTTCATTTCTCGTGGGAATTTTTCTATTGTAGGAACGACCGCAATTCAGTCAACGTGCGGGGCGTCGACCAGTCTCTAATTGTCGCTATCTTGCTGTCCTCTGGCTTAATGCCATATCCGTCTAACACGTGACCCAAGTACAGGATTTGTGTCTTGGCCCACTCGCACTTCTTCGGTTTGATATTGAAGTTGGCCTCTCTCAGCTTCTCCAAGACCTGCCTCAAATGACCCTGATACTCTTGGAGGGTCCTGCTGAAAACTAATATATCATCTAAATAAACTGCTACAAACTTGTCTAACCACGACCTAAATAGATCGTTCATACATCGTTGAAACGTCGCTGGTGCATTGGTGAGTCCAAAGGGCATCACTTTGAACTCATAATGCCCATAACGAGTCCGGAACGCAGTCTGGTACTGGTCATCAGGATGAACTTTTATCTGATGGTAACCGGACTTTAAATGTATCTTGGAGAAATACTTGCATCCCTGCACCCGATCTAAAAGATCGTCTATCCTGAGCAACGGCTCAACATTCTTCACTGTGATGACATTCAAACCCCTATAGTCTATGCACATACGCAACTCTCCCTCCTTCTTGGGGACAAACAGAATAGGTGCTCCAAAAGGAGACGAACAAGGCCTCATCCAACCTTTCTCCAGGAGCTCGTCCAACTGCTTACGTAGCTCCTCAAACTCTCTAGGGGACATCTTGTAGATTGCTCCCTTACGAGTTCTACTGCCAGACTCTATTTTTATTCTATGTTGGATCGGTCGCGGCCCTACCCCTGTCGGCGACTCGGTCAAATCTTTGAACTCCTCCAGCAGCTTCGCAATGGTTGGATCCGTGGAACTATCCCCTTCCTTAGGCTCAGTGACAGGTCTGACATACACTACAAAGACCTGGTCTTCTAGTTGTTCCTTTTTCACTAGTCGCGCGAACGCAGGAGCACTGAGACAGCAATGTGCCCAAGTGTTATCTACACTTGACACATGAAACAGGCGGGCAGTCTTAACCTCCCCTTGACGGACTAGTGAGCCTACACTCATGCTCTCTCAAGAGGAGTGTGGCCCCTATTGCCTCTCCCCAATCCATTCCTAACACTATGTCAAAAGGGAGGTCATCCTGCAAGAGGAGAGTCTGGGAATGGAGAAATTTATCCACCTTCCCATCTTTCTGTAGGCGAAATACGCCTGGACTCCCTCTACGTCGTCCTCAACACGCATCGTGCGGTTGTCTACAAGGACACTGACTATGGGGTCTGCCAACTTTTGGACTTTCAATCCTAGCCTCAGCTTCTTCATCGCTCTACGACTAATATAACTACGGGTAGCCCTTGAATCTATAAGGATCCCTACTCTACTCCTGGAAACTTCTACATCAACTAAAATTAGTTGTCCCTTACTCTCCTTCTTCATCTCGGCCCAGGCCGGCATCCTCTCCTTCAACACTACTGCCGCGCCTGTGAGGGAAGTGCCTAGAGAGACGCTAACACAAGCAGTTTACGGACAGCTAGCTAGGCACTGGCCTGTAACCTCTGCCATAAGCTCATGTGGTTTGGGAGTTTCTTGTTCGCGCCGAATCGCGCTCGCTCGCTTCCCCACACGGCCTTATAGTAGGGGCAGTTGCGACCTCTACTGGCGGCTGCCTTTTGACTGTTGGGCAGCCCATCAGGCCTGTCTATACTTAGGACAAAATTTAATTACATGGGCCGGGTCACCACAAAACACGCACTGACCCAAGTCCACGCGTTCTTGCTATACGCGTTGGTCCAAGCCCAAATCTTCCCATGACCTGCCCTGCGGCAAGCCTGGGTGCCCTCTTCCTGACTGTTGAGGTGGCCTTTCACCTCGTCGTTGCAGAGACCGACTAGAACCCTGACGATTCAGCGGGGGACCTTGACCCCTACCTCCCCCTTGGCAGTTCCCTTGTCCGCCCAATCCTCGGCCTCCCGTGGCCTGGCCCCTTTGGCCCAGTCCTCCTCCTCTACCTTGTGGCCTCCCTCCAACCGCGACAGCCGCATAGGACCTCCCCTGCCCTACGCTGCTGTCCTCCTCCTCTTACCCCCACTCGATCTCACTGTAGGGGACTTCATCAGTACCACCTTCTTCTAAAGTAAAGATCATGTGATTCTTGGCCTTTACTTGGCCAGAGATGGTACGGCCTTTCCACTTTTTGCCCTTATCTAAGTCTTTATGGCAGAAAGTGGAAACTGCCATGGACTTGGCCTTGAACAGCACCACTTCCCTACTGAGCGCATCATACGTCATGGTGGGCTCTTGGGACTTGTCAAAGAAATGCCCTCGTAAGAGCTCTGGCATGGCACGATAGAAAAGTTGGACCAGTTGGGACTCCGTAACCCCATGGTCCGGAACGGCCACCAGGTCACCACTTCCCTACTGTGTCGTCACCCGCACGTCGTACGAGGGGTCTCCGTACGGCCCGTCCGTACGGGCGTACGGACGACGGCCGTCCGAAGGTTTTTTAGGGGCAAAAAAACCTCAAAAAAAAAACTAAAAATATGGGGTTGTAGATCGTTTCGAGACCTACAACACCGTATTTTGCTTTCTATTTTTTTACCTTAAAGAGGATTTTAAAAAAAATCAAAAACAAAAAAAAAGAGAAAAAAACAAGAAAATAAAAGAATTTGGTACCCAAAAAAAAACAGGCAGTTGCCCCGCATGCTTGTGTGTGTATGTGTGTGTGTGTGTTTGCGGGGGGAAGGCGAACCCCCCACTTCATATCAATCAATCAATCAATCAAAAGAAAAAAAAAGGAAAAAAAAAAGAAAAAGAAAAAGAAAAAAAGGCCGCGCGCGTTTGTGTGTGTGTGTGTGTGTGTGTGTGTGTGT